GATACCCTACACCACTATGATAATTTTGTAGAGCTCCACATAACAATTAAAATATTTTATGGGAGAATTTAATCATACACACTATGATTATAATTATAATTTAAAGTTCAAAGGACTAAATGTGCCGAAGCATTTGTATCTTTTAAATTCCGGCTTGTATTGTCCACTTGGTGCAAAATTAATTTGAAATCAGATAAAGATATATATGGGAGCTACATCCAAATCTGAACCGATTGCGATAAAATTTTGCAAAGATATTTCGGAGCTGTATTTCATATATTTCCCTGAATATCGTTGTTACGAAGTGCATATTATGGCTGTGGGTAACAAATACAAGAAATCGGATGAACAATATATATGGGAGCTAAAGTTATATCTGAACCGATCTTCACCAAATTTGGCATACTAGCTTCTAGATTCTTCTCAATTCGGTCGCAAGTGCCAAATTTCATCCCATTTGGACCAATATTAGACGTTTGGTGCACAATAAAAGTTAAATCGGACGAAGTTATATATGGGAGCTATATCCAAATCTGAACCGATCTCGATAAAATTTAGCAAAGGTATTTCTGAGCTACATTTTATATATTTCCCCAAATATTGATGTTACAGAGTGCATATTACGGCTGCGGAGGACAAAAATAACAAATCGGATGAACAATATATATGGGAGCTATAGCTATATCTGAACCGATTTCGATCAAATTTGGCATATTTATTTTCAGGCCTAATTTGGTTGTATGTGCAAAATTCCATACTATTCGGGCTAATATTACACGTTTGGTGCACAATAAAAGGCAAATCGGACGAAGATATATATGGGAGCTATATCTAATTCTTTTACCGATTATCTCCAATTTCAATAGGGTTCGTCCTTGGGCTAAACAAATATTGTTTGGAAAATTTCATCTCAATCGGATAATAAATGCGATCTGTATTTTGTTCACAAGAATACATGGACAGACGGACGGACTGACATGCATAAATCAACTCAGAAAGTGATTCTATGGAGATCCTCAAAAGTAATTATGGGTCTATCTCGCGCTATTTTACTGATTTTAAAATGAACAAAAAATATCGAATAAATGAAAACAACTTGTTGCATATAATATTAAATAATTTTGATAGAAAGCGGGCATAGCCTCAGGGCTGTATTTCTGTAGTTTTACGAAGCTGTTCTAACTCCTTATTGTACCATAGAATAATTGTAGGTCTGAAGAGTTCAGACAAAGTTGTGGATTTTGAAAATACGTACTAAAAAGTGCAACAGCATATATAATTTCTGCTAAAGGCTAGTATACACATAATGTTAAAGTCATATGTAAAGCTACATTTTCAACATTTACGTTAAGCATTTGGATAACATATTTTAAGGCGCTTCCCACAATGATCTGGCAATTGAAATTGGTGGGAACCTGTTTAAATTTAGATATAGCTCCCAACCGATTTCGGTTTATTTGTGCACCAAATGGCCAATATCAGTCCAAATGGACTGCATTTTTGCACATCCGACTGAATGTAGTCTAAAAGCATGCACATCAAATTTCTGTTCAGCTATAACATATATATGGATATATGTTTCGTCCGATGAGGGGTTTTAAGTACCTGACATATGCACTCCACAAGAATGATCTTTGGTACCATATATCAGATACAGCTCAGAAATAAGTGTTTAACATTTTGTCAAGATTAGGATATAGCTCCCATATATATCTTTTACTGATTTCAGTTTTTTTGTGCACCAAATGGCCTGAATTTTGTCTAAAAGCAAGTGCTTCAAATTTTGATGAAAACCGGTTCAGATATAGCCATAGCTCCCATATATATGTTTCACCTGATTTGGTGTTAATATCCCTCACATCCGTAATATGCACTCCACAACAATGATATTTCATACCGGGCATCTACCTCTGCCATGCATGAAAATACCTCTGCCAAATTTTATTGAGGTCGGCTTCGATATACAGGGTGAGATGAAAAAACTTCAACCAACTTCATATTGCCACTCGTCTGACAGCTGTTGAGAATTTTTCAGAAAAAAGATTATTCGTTAATTTTTTTTGTCTCGTAGCATCTCTCTTTACCATGATACTGGTAGCGTAGCCTGACGTCAAGGAAGTGGACGGAAGAAAACAGCAACATCAGCAGAAATGGTTCGAAAAGTAAAGAAACGACTTTATCTTAACCCGCGTCGCAGTTACTTAAAAATAGCTCGTGAGCTGAACATATCGCAATATTCCATTCGGCAAATATTGAAAATCAAATTCAATATTTGAATTTAAAATTCCAAAAAGTGCAAGAACTTACTCCGTAACATAAAGAAAATAGAGTCAAAAGAGTATATTTTAAATGTTTTAAATCTTAGAACCTTTACCAACAGATACTTCGATTAGAAATCACATTTGATTTTTCGAAAATCGTTGAAGTGCATAAAACTTTTGTTTATACCAAAACATTTTTCATTTAAAAATTCATCGAATTTTCTCGAAAAGCAACACTAAAATGCTTCTTTATTATTCTTTCATTTTGACTGCCAAATTGATTGGCTATAAAATAAATGTCCATAACCATTATAAAATCGCTTCCATATTTGGCAAACTAAACTAAGAATTGGCGAATAAACAAATCCACATGACCCTTGTCTGCATCGCATAACCTTTTTCACTCTTTTTAACGAATGACAATTAAGAAATGTGAATTGAATTTCAATTCGATGACATTTACACCAAAAACAGCGGACTTCCCTGTACTTGATTTACAGAATAGTTAAAAATTAATGTTTGTTTGTTTGTCACTTGCGCTTGAGGTTGTCGTAGGTCCATGGGTGCCACCATAATTACACACCGCCAAATATGCATGGCACGTTTTCACACCGCAAGGTTAACTCAATGTTTTGGTTTAATGCGAAAATATAAAAAAAATGAACCAAATAGTGGTGGATTCAATATTTTTTAGCCAAAAATTCTTGTTTTGTCTTTGTGGTTCTTGTTGTGTGTAATGTTGGATTTTATTGTTAAGTTTGGTATGGTTATAAGGTTAGAAGTTAAGAAAAATAAATTGTATTTGGAATTATTGATGACATATAAAAGTATTCAAACCTATATTGTAAAAATTTCGAGACAAAAAAATAGTGCCTAATGTTTATGATAACTCATGTGGTTTATTTTGAGCTGGAACTGTCAATTTTATATATTATTTGGAAATTTTAAGTCAATGGCAGGAGCGCTGTAACGAATTATTTTAATGATAAATTGTTTTTAATTTTTAGAATGGGTTAAGTTTCGGGCAAGTGTTTTAATACCCTCCACCACTCAGAAGGAACTTAAAAAAATTGTCAAAAAAATTCCGTCGAAAAATACCGCTTAAGGGAAAATCGTTGTATAGTGGCTATACGAAGACGTGGTTCTGCATTAGTAATTTTATCTGAGGCTGTATGACCCATTACGAACTTTAAATACGAAATTTGAAAAAATTAAGGTAAAAAATGTCGCTGTGTCGTGGGGGCTATGGGGGCTATACGATATCGTAGACCTATATAGACAATTCTCTTCCAGGGGTTAAAGTACTCAGAAGGAACTCCTTGTGTGGATTTTCAGACACTTACATTGAAAAATGTGGCTAAAGTCATAAAAATTCCGAATAATTGTGGATACTGTTATATGGGGCTACACGATATCGTGGACCGATATAGCCCATCTTCGATCTGTGCAAAATTTTAGCTAATCCTATTTTATTCGTTCTGTACCTAGCGTGATTACAGTAGACGGACGGACGGTCAGGGCTAAATCGTCATATAATTTTATTTTGTCAGAGGGATAGGTACCTATTAACGGGTTTTAATACCAAATTTAGGAAAATTCTATTGATTTATGTCAAAATTGAGGATATTAGGATATACCGATATGTAGGGGTTTTACTAAGATGTGGATCTATATAGGGTGCCCTAGGAGTGGTACTCGTTACGCAAGTCAAGTACCGATCTAGCCAATATTCGTACTTGGCCAGCCTCCAGAGGAAAAATAGCTCTGTTCCTATCCTATCGAAAGTCGTTGGGAGGCTAGCATGATTAAAACACTTCCACATTTCTCATGCATTTCCGATGTGAAAAGACTTTCCATTGTATGCCGCATATGAATACCGGACTTCCCTCAAAGTTGTCTGTGGATAATTACTCTCATGTTTAGGGTTCATTCTGATAAGTTGGTCTACTGTAGGTGATATTACGCTTCTGTATGAATTTTTGTCCCTTGCTTCTTTGGATATGGCTCTTTTTCTCTCTTTTTTTAGGGCTTGGAGTAGCTGGTTTTTCCAGCCTTGACTAGCACATTTAGCTGCTTTCTCATCTCTGAAGACCATGTGGTAAAGAGTGATTTTGTTGAGAACATTTTCGTATTCCTCTCTTGGAACAAGGTGGCAAAGTCTGTGAGGCAGGAGTACAAGTCAAGACATATGTCGTAAACGATTAGATCCGACGCCATAATCGTTCACTCAGCCACATAAATAAGGATTTCTTCGTACAGGTAGAGCTTAAACAGTTCCGGAAATAGCACTCCGGAACTAGTACATTCAGCTGCTTTCTCATCTCTGGCAAAGTCTGTGAGACAGGAGTTCTAGTCAAGGCATATGTCGTAAACTATTGTATCCGACGCCATAATCGTTGACTCAGCCACATAAATAAGGATTTCTTTTCTTTTTTTCTTCGTCGTCTTGAGGGCGCATAGGTAGAGCTTAAACAGTTTCTGAAATAGCACTCCACCTTGAAAGTCTCCCTGGTTATGGTATAAGGTTGGACTTCTTGTTTCGGAATTCCACGTACGACTGTCATCCACACATGTAGTTAATTATCTAACGTTTCAAACTTGGTCTGACTTTCTTTCAACTTTCTTGTTGTTGACTGTATCAAAAGCCTTTGATATATAAAGAGCCACCAACACTGTGCTATGGTATAGTTCGATCTGGTTGAATTCTCTACAAATGAATGTTGATATAGCCTGCGTACTATGTTATTGTCTAATGATGGCGAAACTCAAGAGTTTGCTACTAGCGAAGAAAGCGTAAGTGGCATCCTTGTCTGGCTTCAGTAGCGGTACCATCCAACTCATTTTCCTGGCTTCGGCAAAAGTATGGGTGGCTAGCGAAAGGTATGTGAGGTGCTGCAAGGAGCTGTTTTAAAATTAGCATTAAGATTCCATCTTGATCTCACGCTTTTGACCACATGGTCTGTTAATTTTCCTGCAACAATCTACAGGGCTTACTATTTTTGGAACTTTGTATTAGAAACGTTTTACTCGAAAAGGTAGTAAAACTTGCAGTCAAACTTAAGAGAGCACAAGATGAAATACCATCTATTTCGCTAGAGAAATTTGTGAGTACGGCACTGGAAACTCGTCGATTTTCAGGGTTATAGTAACTAGTTGGTTGGTTTTATTGGTTGAAACGGATTGTCGTCTTATATTTTACTTCGTAAACGAACGAAGGAGTTTTAGGTTGTCTTAGTTCACAATTTGTACTTGTGAACCCTACGCTCCTTTGTTTTTCACTAAGAAGCCAGCCGATGACTTAATCCAGTCATAAAAGTGTTTTATGGATTCCCATCTTTAAGGATCCATTTTGTACTAGTATGGCTTAGAACTAGTACAGGCCTGACGAAATTGAGTTAATTGGAATTTTCATTGCCAGCGAGAGTTGCCAGCTCCTGATTGACTTATATGTTGATTTTGTAATTGTGACATTTTTACTGGCTTTGGACTTATTTACTCTTATGGTAAAACATTTCTCTCTGAATGAGTTTCACACTACGTTCCTTTACCTGTTTTTTATTATTAAACAAGTAAAAAAGTTGTGAGTTCGGCCGGGCCGAACTTTGAATACCCTCCACCATTTGGTACAAATTTGGCAATTTTCAAAAAAATAAAATCCATTAAAAATACAGAACGTAGCCGTATATTAAAGTATATACGAAGACGTGGACCTTCATGACCAATTTTCTGTCCTAGGCTGTACTATCCATTTTGAACTTCAAATACCAAATTTTAAACAATTCCGTAAATAATGTCGCTAAAATCTTCAAAATACCGAATATCGGGAGGTACCTTTACATGGGGGCTATACGAAGACGTGGACCGGCACAGACAATTTTCTGCCTTAGGCTGTAGTATCCATTACGAACTACAAATACAAAATGAAAGAAAGAATTCGGGTGAATAATGTCGCTAAAATCATCAAAATACCGAATATCGGGAGGTACCGTTATATGGGGGCTATACCAAAATGTAGATCTACATGTTCCATACAAGTCCTACAAACATAACATACATTTGAGAAAAATTTTATCAATCTACTTCAATTCGTTCGGAAGCTAGAGTAATTTCCACAGACGGATAGACGGACGGACATCGGTAAATCGATATCGAATTCTATGCTGATCAAGAATATATATACTATGTGGGGTCTAAAATGTATATTTCGAGGTGTTACAAACGGAATGACAAACTTAATATACCCTCCATACTATGATAGAGGGTATAAGGATAAGAAGACATATTTTTGACTTATTTAAAAATATTCGCCTCGAGATTTCATTGAGAACATACTAATGATATATTGCATTCAGGTATATTTTCCTCATTTCAATAAACAATTTTCTTATATCTTACGGCTAACAAAATTTCCTTTAGCATAAATTTAACTTTTCTAAGTTTATCTATATAATATTTAACTGAGGTTACAGTTTCGCTGCAGTCTTGTACTATGCTATGTTCGAATTACATATATACTTATAGTTAAGCTTAGAATTACAACGTTCTCCTAAAAAAAGATGCCTTAAAACTTAGAGTAACAATATATTGTCGAAAGACTCTGCTTTATATGCAATATTAAAAAAATCTCTTTTCGCTTCAGCGCCTTCCATTGTTCCCTGTCATCGTGACAATCCCGACTTAAATAATTGTATAATCAAGGCAGTTGAAGATCTGAGACCTTTACTGGCAACAGGAGAACTTGGTGAAGGATACCGATCACCGCCGTTGGAACCTTTGTATTTGGATAATATTGAATTGGGTCGTGGTAGACAATTCGAGGCGGTGTTCAGTGAAATGGTCGTTAAGGGCGGAAGTAATTTCATTATTAACAAATTATCGTAAGTAAAGAAAGCTGCCGATCTGGGATAAAAAAATTGCATTCGATATCGAAAAATGAAATGAATTTCTTTATGCTTATTTTAAATTAATAAAAATGAAAATTTTGGTAAAAAAACTGGTGTATAAATCTAGTTAATATTTAATTAAATTAAATCAAGCTAAAATGTACATATTAATATTCATTTCGATCGAAATATTTTCGATATCGAATGAGAGAATTTGGCCCCTGTTTTTTTGACATTTATTAATTTCCTCCTTGTCTTTATTAAACAGAGCTAATGCATCAAATTTGTCTTTCGATTTGGTGCTGACATTGCCAAGGTTAGATTTCACTGGTAAATATTTCATGAAACTGAACATCCTTTTGTTGGACATACAGGGTAGAGGTAATATGCGAGGATATTGTGGTAAGTTTTAAATATTTTTTTTATTAATATGTCTTAAGTAATACTATATAACTTTCTCCTGTTTTCTTAGAAAATGCCAAGGCATTGGTTAAGATTCGCGGTGTCCGTGTTCCCATGCCCGATGGCTTGGAATATGTCCGTTTCACCCGTTTGCCGCTGAAAATCAACATCGATGTCTTCAAACTACATTTGGATAATTTATTTAATGGTGATCGCATTCTGGGTGATGTTGGCAACACTATTATCAATGACAATCAAGATTTGTATTTGTCAGAGATTATACCTGGCCTGGAGCGAGGGTTATCGAAAAAATTCCTCGACATTGCCAATATGATGATGGCCAATACAACATTTGATGAAATGTTTCCTTTGTAGATATGTAAATATATATGTGTCTTGTTTTAAGTAAATGTTAAGTTAGTGTGTTGCAGTATTATTTAAATAAAAAAAAAAAAAATAATTAAAATAATTGAAATTTGTATATTATTGAATGAGTTTTAAAAATTGGAATATAAAACAGGGTCTTATGTTAAAATTCCCACATATCCTTCTAAATTTTCGATAGAAAAAATATTGATAAAAAGGGGGGGCAGTTTAAATTTTATTATATCAGAAATTTAGCTGCCTTATTAAAATTCCTTAACAGTTTTATTTCTTTTACGATAATTTAATTAAAGTCTGGTATGGAGTCTTTCCCTAAAAATTGGGATCTAATATTTGCAAACGAGAAAATCCTCTAATTTTTATCATCTACCCCGCTTGCCCTGCATATGCTGTTATCTCCACATCCTGTCTTGTACAAATGAGTAAGGATGTCTGTTACCCACTAATTTTTTTCTTACCTAGTAATGAAAGGTTCTTCGTTTTTAGCTAATTGATGTCTTCCCATAACATTTTTTGTGGTTTCCCTATGTCTGCGTCTTTCTATAGGGATATGCGGACGATTTTTGTTTTAAACTTTAGTCGTGAAGCATTTAGCGGCTTTGGATTTCCCAAGTTTTGTTTGCTGATTCCCTTTTTGACTATCTTTGATGTTATACGGTATCTTGACTCGTTTTGGCATTAGGCCAGTTTAGACACTTGGCAGTAGCCAAGAACCTTCCCTTGAAGGATAGTATTATGATTGGGCAAGAGAAAAAGGAGATTACGATATATTGTTCTTCAATAAATAAAGTCCCAGTCCCGCTCTTCCCTCGAGCTCCGAGCCATCTGTGTATTTACATTTTCAGCAGGCTTTTGCGATAGGAATCCGAGATCCACGAGTCTCTGACAGGAATTAATGTTTCACATGAAGCAGCTACAATTGTTCCCGATCCGGTACAATGCCTTGAGCCTCATGGCCGCTACGTACCTAGGATAGGTCTAAATACGCTTTTGAATAGCCAGTGTGTCATCTTTGGATTGGAACCCCATTTTGAGCCTATGGATCTGTTACGCGTTGCCCACCATATGTGATTTTTATTAGCTCCTTTTTGGATGTGGTCTCCCCAATTATGATTCCTATCTAGAATTACACCCAGATATTTAGCCTTTTTGGAAAAGTTGATTGTCTTGTTCAGGAAGACTGGTTCATCGAAGTGACCCAAATTTGTTTTCCGAGTAAAAAGACATAAATCTGTTTTTCCGGGTCTAACCCAGTTGTATGCAAGTTTCAGAGCCGACTCGGCCGTCTAGCAGAGTGGTTCAGATCCTTCGTTGGTGAAAGTCCTTAATAGACTGTTTGCGGCAGTAACTCACAAAAGAAAAATGTTGTCATTTATGCTTATGTCATATAACCCACAACTTATCCACCTACTCCTAAGCATATGGTTTATCCAGTCCCTGAGGGCCTGGCCCTTCATCTGGAAATTATCTAAGGATTGGATAATTGTGCTGACGATATTAAAAGTTCTTTCAATGCGTTCAGCCAGTGGATAAATGTTTTTATCGAAAGTGCTCTCGATGTGGTTTACAACCTCATAGATGCGGTTTCCACTGATTGTCCTTTAATGTATACATGTTTATATTTAAGAATATTGTTTGAGATCTTGCTCCTTACCATGGTGTAGATTGTACCTTCAATGGTTTAGAGTAAGAATGATTTTAGACTTATCAGTCGATAAGGCTTAGTTATTTCGTATTTTGCCTTGCCAGGTTTGGGGATAAAAACTAGCTTCGCCTCCTTCCTGATTTTTGGAGTATACGCAAATTTTAGGCAAGCGCTGGTTCAATTTAAGTTGTCTGACGAGCGTTACAATAAAGTTGAGTATTCAAATTTAGAATTATTATGTTATTGGGACGTTCTTGATCGGACGGACCTTTTAATATCAGAGAATGTGTTCTACACGAGGAGATATCTGTCCAAATTTGTTTTAATACCTTTCGTAGTGACTTTTTCCTTTGACTTTTCCCTTTTTAAGATGTCGACGACCTAAATTGCGGTTGAATGCAAGCCCAACGCTGCCATTTCATCGGTTTTCTCATTTCTCCCAATATTGCAATGACTACGTACGGAACAAAAGCACCTACACCTCAGTAATGCATCGCAATTGATTGTAGAGTGGCTTAACTATCCACATAAATAGTCAACGGCTCTGTTATTTCATCTTCCCTTCATCATAGTATGGGGTACATTAAGTTTGTCATTCCGTTTGTAACAACTCGAAATATACATTTTAGACCCCACAAAGTATATAAAAATTCTTGATCAGCATAAAATTCTATGTCGATTTAGCGATGTCCGTCACTCTGGATTCCGAACGAAATGAAACAGATTGATAAAATTTTACTCAAATGCATATTATGTCTGCAGGACTTTTGGTATTGCAAGTTGGCCATGTAGGTCTACGTTTTGGTACAAGTTTTTGAAAATTGCCAAATTCGTTCCATATGGTGGAGGGTATTAAAAGTTCGGCCCGGCTGAAATCACAGCTTTTTTTTCTTGTCAATCAATTCTACAGCCATCATGAAAGCAAATAGCTCTGCCTGAAAAATACTGCACTTTCCATCCAAGTTGCAGAAGTAGGTCATTTTAAAACTCCGGAGCCCGTGCCATCTTTGATCCACTGTATATATCACCAGACCGATTAGAGTTAGGTTGGCTCCGTTCTATTCATCCCTATTTGGAATCAATTTCTCATTTTTGTCAAACCTCATGGTTGGAGATATGTAATCGCTAGGGTTGGCGTTTATTTGAACCCCTAGAACGTGGGCGTTAATTTTCCTCACAAATTCAAGACATAGAGATTAAACTTACAAAAAAACTTCCACAAACACTACAACGTTACCTTACCCTTACGAATAAGGGTTATTTGCCCAATTCTTGTCACATTTCTACACCAGATTGTAATGTGATTTGACATTTTACGTTCTAAGGAGTTAAAAAATAATCTTACTGAAAATTATTTGGAACGGCCCGCCTTTACCTGCGGGTCCCCCTGTAAAGATATCTCCAAAAATAGAAGTATTTTTTATATAAATCAATTCCAAATTTGATTTTTTGTAAAAAAAATAACAATTCAATATAAAATTAAATCAAAGTTAAATTTTGCACAAATAATTTGAATTTGTAGATAATCGGTCAAAATTTAGGTATAGCTCCCATATATATTTTCATCCAATTTGCCTTATATTGTGCACCAAATTTGTATCAGCCCAAATAGTATGGAATATACGTACGACCAGATTGGACCTGAAAATAAGCACGTTCATCCGATTTGTTATTTTTGTCCTCCGCAGCCGTAATATGAACTCTGTAACAACGATATTTGGGGATATATATCGAATATAATTCAGAAATGCCCTTGCTAAATTTTATCGAGATCGGTTAATATTTGGATATGGCTCCCATATATATATTTGTCCGATTTGCCTTTTATTGTGCACCAAACGTCTAATATTAGCCCAAATGGAATGGTATTTGGTACTTACGGCCAAATTGAATCTGGAAACCCGTATGTCAAATTTGGTGGAAATCGATTCAGATATAGCTATAGCTCCCATACATATTGTTCATCCGATTTGTTGAATTTGCTCTGCATAGCCGTAATGTGGACTCCGTAGTAACGATATTCAGGGCAATATATCAAATACAGCTCAGAAATACCTTTGTCAAATTTTATCGAGTTCGGTTCAGATTTAGATATAGCTCTCATATATATCTATCCGATTTCAAGATAATTCTGCACCAAATGGATAATACAAGCCCGAATTTAAAAGACGCAAATGTCTCGACAAATTTTATGAACTGTGGGTGGAAGATAGTGCCATGGATATCTATTTGTTAACCGTTTAGCAGCTTCCAGTGCAAAGGCCTTCAATTTTTCGGCATTAATCAGAAGACAATGCTTGCAACATTATTGAACACCCCTCAATTATATCCTTATCAATCCCAAACAACAAAAACATATTCTATGTCACTAGCACCATAGAACTGACAAAATTGCAGCGAAGTCACTTCAGTATATTGGGCATAACATACAAATCTGACAAAATCTGAAAGTTAAATTAGCACTTTTACAATCTTAGGGCCATTACTAATGGCCTGAAATAAATCACATTGGAGGACTCAAGGGGGAAAACAATTAAAACTTTACCTGAAATCCATTTTTTTTTTTTCAAAATTAATGTTAAAGGCAACTCAGATCCCTCACATCTTCTATATTATACACAACTATTAAACACACAAATTACTGCACTAAAAATAAGTCAATACCAGAGGGCTGCAATGAGTATGATCGAGTAGGCTTGATCGCACACACTGGAAATGCAATCAAACTCAATCAGTCGGTCAAATGTAACATGTTCATTCGAGTAGCTCAAGCCAAATGAAAAAGTTGTGATCGAATATGTATTGATCGAAGTTTTGTGTTCGCAATCAAACAGCTCACATGAATGTTTTGTTTACGAACTAATGTTGAACAATGCATACCGAAACGATCATCTCGGATGAGTATGATCGGTTTGATTTTTTTTTGAAGGGTGAGTGATTTGATTCGATTAAATACGAAAGATCGAATCTGAGCGTAATCATGTATTGTAGTTTTGGTATGGTTATCAATACTAGAAGCAGTACCCATTGAAGAAATCGAAACAAATGGTATTTATTAAATAACGATTTTTATTTCATTTGGGCTTATAGTATACCAGACTTCAGTGGCTTATTTCTAAAAAAGAACACATTATTTCTAAAAAAATAACAAAAAATCAGACTTCAGTCACTTATTTGTAAAAGAGGAACACATTTTTTCAAAAAAAAAAAAGAAAAAAATAATAATAATAACAAAAAATATATTTCAGTTGCTTATTTCTACAAAAGGAACATATATCAGTCTTCAGTATTTAGTTGCAATTTTTGTTAAAAGAATTTAAAAACATTAAACTGTCAACAGCTCTCA